ATGATTACTTCAGCATTATTTCAATTTCTTTATTAATTGGGATGGGATTTATTACAAGAATATTGACACTAATTTTTAAAACTGACCTATTTTACTGTATGAGTTTTTTTCCTGTATTGGTTTGCTAATAACGCTGTCTTGGGGGGAAAATGTGCTTTGACGTCAAGTCAAATGCATCGGTCTACAGGAAATAGCATGTTACATGGACACAGTTTTTCTGTTTATACGAATGTTGGTACTGTGCTCAGTGAGTAGGCAGTGAGTGTTAAAAATTAACTGAATGACGTTTTGTTTAGTCACTGTAAGATCTTTTAGCAGTACTTTCTTGTTTACTGCCAGTACATCCAATTATCTAATGCATGCACACATATACACATACGTAGATCACATTATATAAATAAATATGCATGTGTGTGTGTCTGCTATGCAGATTGTTATTCCACTGCTTATATTACTGTAGGATTCAGTCCTAGGCCTTTGGAAGTTGGTAGGAATTTTTTACCTATATTCTTCAATTTTTTTTAGTTAGATAGAATTTTAAAACAAAAAAAAAAGCAAAGCATTCCATATACAGAATAGACAATACATTGTACAGTATTAACATAATATCTTTACGGTATTTTTAAGCTATATACTGTGCATCTGATATATGACAAATATAGCATATTCTGGCAAATTAAAATTTAAATGTTTAAAGAGATTTCTCATTTACTTTTCTAACATAAATGTTGCAAATGTTTTCTGGTACAGAAGAGTTATATATTTTCCCTTGTCTGTGTGAACAATGTGTGCTTTTCAATCTCAAAACCCACCTATTTATGTATTACACATAAATTCAGTACTGTCCAGTCTAAATCGTATCAGGATTTTGTAATATTTTTGTGTTCAGTTCTGCAACTGAAATGTAAAAAATACATGTGAAGGATTAATGTGCATGTGTAGTAATTAATAGATTTTATTTTAATCATATTAAATATGAAATAATGCAGATTATTTACTTCTTACGTCTCACATTACTGTTTATCTCATTGACATCTAGCTAAGAAGTTTTTTACATCACTTCCATCTTATTAACATCGTTAAGGAACTGCAGTAGCTCTTTTTAGGCTAGAAGTATTAGTCTCATTAGGCTATTGTTTAGCATGAGGTCATTTGAATTTATTACATACACTGTAAATCTCAGTTTTCAGAATTCCATATTTATTTTAAAGCTGCTGAGAATTTGAAGTTAAATGGATTTTAATCTAAAAAGACAGCCTTGAAAACAGTTTGGAAACTTAATGGAATATACAAAATAAAATCAACACATCTGGGTCCTTGCCATTTTACTGCAACAAAGGTTTGTTTTCTCACACTAGATACCTACGCCTGCAAACCTTTACATCGCTACTTTAGTGTTGCAGGCAGTCCCATTGGACTCATAGTTTTCTCCAGGATAGGACACAATGATTGTTTCATGCCACGTTAAAGAAATATTTTTATTATTTCCATAAATAATACCTCAAAAGATATATTACCTCTTGAGAATATTTGATTACACAACTTTGTGATATGTATATCTTATCAGAGTTTATGAATGAGATAATTTTGATATAAATTCATCATTGCATCATTTGATTTTTGAAATTAGGGAGAAATTATCAAACTTTTGCATCAGTAAACCAGTCCCAGCTGAAGTTGTATGCTAAACAGAAGCAAAATAATACCTAATGATTATGTTTCTGGCATAGCATTTGTTTGACGTTTTAACCCAAGCCATCGTGTCCTACAGCAAAACTATTTAACATACACATTGTTTTGACATGTGGAATGTGCCTCGTTTTTCCCTGTGCACTGTTTTAAAGCAAACTAAGAGTTCATTGTGTTTTCATGAGCTAATGTAAACATGGGTCTTTTTTCCCATCAGTCAGCCTTTTTTACCAATACCAGCTGAAGAATACCAGTATATTTTTGACACGTTTTCAATATATATATTGGTATTTATTCATTATCGCCATATTTACTTCCCTAGGGTATGACATTTGTAATCGTATTTTAGCAGAACGCTTTCTGAGCGGGGGAAAAAATACCCCTTCCCCGCTGAATACCCTGAACTGCAGAGGTCTCTTCTTGAAAGCCGTTTTAGTTATCTGTACTTCTTTGGTAAGGTGGAGAACAGAATACAGGTTTAAAGGCTTAAAAATCTATCTTTCCTATTCCCAGTAACAGGAATTCATACAAGAAGAACATCTGCATAGACATGCTGCGACAGGGTTATCACAAGTCCTTCTCCGAGCTCTTCACTCTGATACAGAAGTGGGATGCCTTGAGGGAGGCTGCGGGGCCTGGGTCAGCCATATGGCAGCAGAAGTCCCTGGAGGAGCAGCCTGATAAGCTGGATCAGCTTTACCACTTCCTGACCAGGGCTGAGGCAGCCCAGCGAGCAGGTAAATGGGGGGATTGTGGGTAGCAGAGCAGCGGGAGCCGCAGCCGCGAATGCCTGGGGGAAGCTTCCAAATTGTTTCATGTATGAATTTGAAACGTTGCTGCATCTTAGCACGTTTCCGCCTTAGTCAACTGAGCTGTATTTATAGAATAAATGATTAGGAACCGCAGATATCGGGAGAGGTTTTGTGAAGGAAAAAAAAAGGGGGAAAAACGTGTAGAGTGCATTATGATATCGTCAGAAATGTTTGATGTATTTATAGCTTTGATAACATCTCAGTTATTTTCTCATAGTTTCATTATTTATTGTTTTTCTTTCTCTATTGATTTGAGTAGCTGGTTTTGTATTAGAAAAATTTAATAGGTGAAATGCTGTTTCACGCAGTAATAGTTTTATAAATCTGATTTTATTAAATACCCTGTCTGCTAACTGTGTTTGGATTTGTGACTGACTTAAAAAGGATTGTGAACATGTCAAATAAAATGCAGCACACAGACGTAACATGCCACCTGTGAATTACTAGGTATTAGTGAAGACATAACTCCAAATTACTGTATTTTCTCTACTGCCTGCTATTTACTAAGCGCTCATGTTTATCATTTGCTTTTACTATGAATAGTAACATAACTTACTCTGTCTTTCTCCTTTGGAATAATTGTAAGGATGGAGGCAGGTAAAGCTCTCGCTGCAACCCTGTTTCATAGCTGAGCTGATTTCACTATAGTTGTCTTGTTTCAAGTTGCATTTCTGATCATTACAAATATGAAAATCTGCAATAAAGCTTCTGAGTTTGGAACCTAAGCTTTTTGACTGAAATTTAGAAACAGACAACTTCATTTAAAAAAGGAACAACAAAAAAAACTTTCAGCACTTACAAAAACGTTCATTTAAAATGTTTATTTTATATTTACTATGAAAGCCAAAAGTTGTGTTTCTTTATTTAATTCACTGTAATTCTAGGCAGGAAGTCTAGCCAGGCCATGATTGGAAGGAATCTTCAGATTTGTCTGGAGTGTGACTAAAACCTGAATAGGCACCCCCGTAGCTTGCAGGAGTGCAAGGGAGAAGTACTGCGCTCAGTCTGCCCTGACAGAAGCATACTGCCAACGCTTTGATGTTCAAAAAGTAGTAGATATGGCTTATCTTGATGGGCCTGCTTCCTGCAGCTGCTTGAGGAGAGCATTTTGCCTCCCTTCAGTGCATGATATTTTTCAGCGTTACAATCTGATGTGTGACAACGGAGTTGGCAAACGCTCCCAGAGTCAAGGTGCTGCTGACTGCAAGTTTCTGCCCCTATCAGAGGCAGGGGCCCTTTCTCTCGCTGAACCCAGCATTCATTGTGTGCTGGGCTCTGGAAGTCTTTCACCTCTCACAGGGCCAAGATACCACTGATTGTCTGACTGATTGTGTCTTGCCTCTAGGAGAGGATGTATCTCCCAACTTGGCCTGTTAAAGTTGATTAAAATGAAAGAAAAGAAAATAATGAGAACATGCCAATAGAGTTGCCAAGCATCTTTACTGAATTGCGAGATCAAGGTATAGTTAGTTTTGATTTTTTTGCCAGTTTCAGTGCAAACCTTTGCACAAATCTCTTGTTTAAGTGAGGCTTGAGTCACTTGGCACATGAAGGGGTGGATGCTAATTCATGTTGCAGGTGTTAGAGCTAGTAGTGCTGTGAAGATAACATATGAATTATACAGCTCATCGAATACTAATTCAGTAGTTCCACTAATCCCGTTACTCTCTGATTCTAATCAAATTGCTTGGGGCTCTGGCTTATGATCTCCTGACAACTCTAGTTGACACCATTTAAGAAGTGTTCAGCAGTTCACCTCAGCTGGAACTCACTGTGATGTAGCAGTCACAACAGCAGCTGACCTGCATTTGCTCTTCAGCCACCACAGTTCAAGCTTAAAAGGCTGAAAGTAATATTTGGGGCTGAAAACTGTGAGAGTTTCACAGCGTGGCTGATGTCACTGATATTAGGCTAGCTGAAAGTTTACCTGTCTCAGGTATGCTGTCCTGAGCTAACAGTTGTGTTGAAGAAGAGATAGCAGGTATAAATTACAAAAAAAAAAAAATCTTCATGACTTGTAAGTTTTTCGATTAATTTAAGCTTCATGAGGGAATTGTTTCTGAATCAGAAGTGGTAAGTGGAAAACAAAACTTCACTTACTATGTCAGTAAATAATTTTCTTGTTATTTAATTTTTCTTATTTTTCTTTTTTTTTTCTTATTTGTTATCTAATTTTTCTCACCTGATATTTTTGTATCATAGAGTGTTGCTGTCTTAATTGTGAATATAACTTCAAACTGCTGCTCCTAGATTTAGAGTTTTATGGCTGTTACCATAGTGTACAGAGAAAGCTAGGTATTCATTCACTTTCCATATTTATTGGTGGAATATGTTAATGTTTTCATTTTTTGATAGTTTGTAGTTATAGGACACAATAATGCTGGACATAAATTGTTTGCTTGAACAGAATCAGCACCATCCATCACAGTGTGGAGGCTGTTATCAAAGAGCAATTATTTTCTCTACTGCTGGGTTTGAAAATAGTGACTTTTTGTTTATAGGTGTTACGTTGTACAGACTGTTTACCTTTACATACACCAGTGAATGTTCTGTCTGTTTTCATTTTTAGTGGAACATTTTGATTGAACTTCAAATCATATAGAAGTCATCTCTTTTTTTTTTAATTGGCTATTGCCAATATTATACTGCGTGCAAAGAAATATCTTTTTTTTCTGTCAACTTAATCTCATTGTCATTGTATTTGAATACCTCCCAAGTATTTAAAAATAGAGAGCTAGCATTAATTCTTGCAGCTTCTCAGAAAAAGAGCTGACAGAGTTATTTTGCCCTAGGTACAGCATTATCCCAAAAACACTGGCAGAAATATTGGCAATACTTGACTGCATTCCTATTTGGTCTCTTTTGATGCAAATAATGTAAGTGTTTCTGACTTCAAAATTGAGTTGTTTCCAATTATTCCTTCATCTTCCTTCATTATCATGGACTAATCTCTCTTTTTACTAGTTCTGGTCTCAATAGCCTGGAAAAAAAAAAAAGAGGAGGTAGTTTAGCTGTTTAAATATGTATAGTTGTAGGGTTTTTTATAGAAGAATGCAGGATAAATGCCAAAGCAATGTATCTACATAGCTCAGCATTTGATATATACAGTTATTTCTTGGCACATGTACAAAAATGTTGGGTTTGGGGTCTTTTTTCAAGAAGAAAGTTATGTTTTGAGGCTATGGAATGGCCTACCCAATTGCCTGCTTGCCTGCCTGATTGTACTGTTCAGAGTAATTTCACTTAAAGGTATAATTGTCCTTGAAAGGTCTAATACAGTGCTGGCAGGTTGTTGTTGCTATCCCTTTGAAGAGCCGTAGCTCCCTAGCCCCTACTCAGTACTGTTCTGCTAGTTAGCAGGAGGGAGAGTTTGAAGCCGCAGTTCATCCTTGTCTGACATCGAGGGTTGCTAACTAAATATCCTTTGGCTGCTGACACCCTGTGAACAAATGATGCCCATACCCTACAGAGGTGCACCAACTGAATAGAATTCTTTTTGTCCATTTTGTCTAAGACCCAGACAAAATTTGACTCTACATCTCCGTGTGTTTGGGTGGGTCATGAGGAAGAAGTAGGAACAAAGGAAATCCAACTAAGAAGTCTTCTACTTATATTTTGGAATTTTTGAACAGCACCCGGTGTAATGTGTGCCTGGGAGAACAGTTCGTTATAATGATAACATTGCTGTTCCTCAGATAAAAATATTTAAAAGTGAAATTAAAACCTTTAAGCTGGTATTTTTACAGAGTTTACCATATGAATGTAACTGATTCTTTAAATCACTACTTGGCTGCTACAGTCTGTCTTATTGTTTTAAAATGCATTTCTAATTTACTTGTTGGGTCTGTATGCTCATTAGGCTAAGCCACTTCTTTGAATCGTCTCGTCAAAGTATTGTGTAGCTACTTTTATTTAGTTAGTTAGCACTGAGCCTATCAGAAGAATAATTGATAGTATGCAGATTATACCATAAAGCATCAATCGTCTGTTTTAGACTGGGGCCGGCCTCTCAGTGATAGTGTGCCAAATTTGTTTTTTGTCAAATTAGAGGTCACCTGTCCCAGCATTATTTCAGAAGGGCTTGAAAAGTGTTGCTCTTCAGATTACATCTGAATTACATATTAAATGTCGGCTTGTACCCTGACTGAATCCTTACCTAGGACTAGCAGAGGCCTTGAAGAGCTCACGTGATCAATGCTTGCTAGAGTGAGCTGGTTTACTTGTATTGTACAAGTTGAAGGGGATGCAAGGCAAGTTACAACTCAAGAACAATTAAAGGGAGAGATGTCTCAGCCATAGGCTCTGCTTTTCCAGAGGAGGGGAGCAAAACCAGGGAAAATGCCACAGTTCAGTGGCTGCAACACGTATTGAGCAGTCAGCGCTATAGTGGTAGATCGCTGTGTTCACTGTGCCAAAGCCAGTGCACGGAACCTGTACTTGGGTATGAACATGCCTTCAAAGGGGCAAGACACTGCTTATTAGTTGATCGTTGGGGCAGCTGGTGGAGAGTAGGAGTTAAGACCTGGAAGCTTTTCTCCGATTCCATCTGCTCCTGGTTCCTGACCCTATGCAACCTTTGCGGTTATGCTGTATGCTAAATGCTGAATCTGTGCATGTGCTACAGGCTGCTGACCCTTGTTCTAGAGAATATCAGACACACAGAATTAGAAGGAAGTGTTAACTTGGCTCTTTTTTCCTCACTTCAGTGTGGAGAAAACTTTTGACAGTATGAGTTATCATTTGTTGTTGTTGTAAGAGATGACTTTTCATAACGTATATGAAGAAAGCATGAGTATTTGATGTGTTTGCACTGGAAAATCTTTCTTTGTCTGGGGTACTTAAGGTTGAAAACAGTCTAGTATTTTACGGTGGAAAGCTTTTCTGTAAGATTTCACACTTATGCCTTAGGCTGGGCTAGAAACATT